CGAGTCTTAGCCGCGTACATCATTTGGTCTGTCGTAGAGATTCCCCAGGCGTGCTGTCGCTTGCGCATCCTGTCTTGCCAGTCTCTTTCCAAGTGCAATTCTTGGGAGAACTCAGAAGGCAGGATGGGCCCAAAGTAGTCAATAAGGCCGGTGACGGGGCGGCTGAACCAGTAGAACGTCTCGGTGAGGGAGTCTCTGAAGAGCTTCTCATCGTCGTGTCCTGTCGAGAGCAGATCAAACGCCTCAATGAAGTCCAGCATGAATTCAGAATGCCACACCTCGTCCCAGTCGCGGGTTTTGTTCTTGAGCTTATTCCAGCAGTCTTGGGTGACTTCGAGGAGAGAGACGAACATGTGTCTCAAGATAGAAAGAAGAGGGCGGTGAACAAAACGGTCGCCGAGAATGACCGTCTTGGCCATTGTGGCCAGCTTCATCTGGGGAATTTCCAGACGGCTTTCCATCCAAGGACCTTGCATGATGGCGTTGATTTGGTCGTCGAAGACTCTGGGAGGCACAACTCGGACGCCGCGAACCTTCATTTCGAAGAACCAACCGTGCGCGATGTTGAGATAGAACTCGAAGGCTTCGACATCCACGTCGTCGAGGAAGATCGTTTGCTCAAGGGTCTCCTTGAAGAAGCCGAAGAGGCAGCATTCGAAATACATCGAACCCGCAACGATGACGTCGCGAAAGACAATGAATACCTTGCCGCCGCAGTGTAGGTGAACATAGTCGTCGACATGCCTGACTTCTGTCAGCAGCTGAGAAGGAAAGAGCCGAAGAGCTCACCGAACTTACAAATCAACGACAGGCTTTCCACTTCTGGCGGTGGCTATTCCATTGGCGACCGCTGCCATGTTGACCGCGTTGGGTCTCAAGTCTATGATGTCGGCCATGATAGGCGTGGACCCCAAAACTGGAGTTTCCGGGTGTCTATTGTCGCTGGGACTAGTGGTTTCGTCTAAAATTCGGATAGATATTCGTAAGATATGGACAGCCAAGACGTCGTGTTCGAGGAGTCGAAAGTTGGGCCGGACGGCGGAGAAGGGGGATAGAGTTGGAACTGCTCGATCGTTAGCAGTGCCAGCGCGTTGGGTTGAGCAGTCACCCACATAGGATATGATGGCGGGTGGCTCGAACGGTTGCTTTCGAGTTGGTAATTCGACGACGAAGAAAAAAATGAGCCTTGAGGCAAGAGGAGTCGATAGGATCCCGACGGAAGAGGGGATTCAGACCTGACAAGGGTCCTGCGCAGTGTAAGTAGGGAGTAGATGGGAAGAAGAGGCGACCTGTGGCTTGGCCAAGTTGTCGATGGAGGAGGAGAGTTGTGGGAGGGAAGTGGAAGTCTCGACGCACCTGACGAAAAGTTTCCCGACCTAGAACCCTCTGGCCGGCTCTTTCCCTTATTGCAGGAACCTCAAAGGCTGTCAAAGGGCAAGTAGACAGGTAACTGCGCTGCCACAATTGGTGCTCCTCATGATATTTGCGTCACTCTTGGTTTAGTGCAGTCGGATTAAGCGGGTGCAGAGCAGCACACACCTTCTCGGAGGCTTCCGGACTGGGCCGGAGCTGGGCCGGTTGTCGCCCCACTTTAGACCGAACCTCCAGGGCTGCTCCGGCAGCATCTCGGATCTTCTTAAATCCCGAAGAAAAGACAGAAGGGACTCGATAACCGCAGCCGGGCCTTCCCAAACTCGTGGGAATAGCAAAATTAACTTGATTACTTGTCCGATCTTGCCAAACCAGCGTCACTGTGACCTTGCACCTGGAGAACGGCATGGCCGCTTTCCGTAGTTCAATCTCTGTCATAAAACTCGTAAGTTGTCTAGTGACTAATCAAGCACACTTTGAGCAGGTCATCCATTCCGGATCAGAGCTGACTTCAATCCAAACGGTTAGAAGAGGTGATGGGGCCTAAGGGGTCGATTTCCACAGTGCCAGAACAAAATACACACACCCCAGTGAACCCCGCCATGATTGCTAAAGAAGCGGAATTTGGAGCCAACGTACTGAGTCTGCCCCCATCATTCTCCATCAATCTAGGGATATCTTACTGGGTTTTCGACAGAAAACTGCGAATCGCATCGAACAAATGAGTGAATAGTCATCCCCAGTGTCTTGGAAGGCCTTGGAGGCCAGCGAAAGCCACTCATTAGTTGCACCAATCCCTACAGGGTAGGTACTGCTACTTCGAGGTCCCGTCCTTGCGTGGAGTCTTTCCTACCTTCTCTGATGCTCCTTCTTGTGGGAAATTCAAGGCGGCTCTTCCTTGTTCCTTCCGTTCTTCGCGAACGTACATGCTGCGGCTGTTGCCTTTGAAGAGTCCGAGGCAGGCGTCCGTTTGGCCGTTTGACTCACAGCTTCTCTTAGTCACCTCCAATCCTGCGTTTTCTTTCGGCCATTGCGCTCAAATTGCACGGTTTTTTCATCTCAAACCAAAGAACTCGCCATATTCCCACCTCGTCGTTGTTTCTCTTCAACCTCTCCAAACATGGGAGGCTCCGTTTTCACCGCGGGCGACAAGCCTCTCGACACCCCTCGAATGCCTCCCCAGGTCTACGAGCGCGTCAAGGCCGAGTGCCACGCTGCCCTGAGAAAAATCTACCTCTGCGTCGCCAGCCCCATCGAAGGTCCGGCCAAGAAAGACTACGGTGATATCGACATCCTGGTTGCCTTGGAGAGATCCATCGTACTGGGAGGATCCCATTCAGATTACCCGCCCTTTGGAAAAGACAGGAAGAAGGACGCTTGCAAGGCCATTCAAGAAGCTATCGGGGCACCATTTCTCAAAATCGAGAAGCAAACCGACCACTATGCCATTCGATGGCCTGATGCCGGCACTCTGGCAGAGGGAGAAGATACCTCGACCTCATCTCCCGAGCGATACTGCCAGATTGACATCGCCATCTGCGACAAATTGGAACAGGTGCATTGGAAACTGTTTAAGCATGCTCATGGAGACCTTTGGAGCATCCTCGGCACTATCATCCGACCATACGGCCTCACGGTAGATGAAGAGTCTCTTTGGGTGCGTATCGTCGAGATGGAGAAGTTCGACAAGAAGAGGGCTAGAGTGCTCCTCACGCAGGATCCTTACGAAATCCTTAGCTTCCTTGGCTTGGCTGCCGACAGCCACATCTGGGACTCGACGTTCGAATCGCTTGAAGATATGTATGAGTACGCCGCCACGTGCCGCTTTTTCTGCTCTCTTCCTCTCTCGGACCAGTCATCGCCAGCAGCACCCGCTACTCCTACGCGGACTGCCTCACCCTCAACCACAACGTCGACCAAGTCTCCCGCAAGCTCGAGCTCACTTCCACCTTCCACGCCCGCAAGTTCCGTTACCTCATCGAGAATTCAAGCCTCGGTATTGCCAGCTACGCCCTCAACGCGGACTCCTACTGCCACTGCCGACGTACAGACACCCGAGTCGAGCAAGAAGAAGCTGAACCACAGCGACAAGAAGCGCATGACATCCCGACAAGCCTACAGCGACTTCATCAACAAGTTCATCCCCCAGTGCCGAAAGGAGGGTCGGTTTACTCAGGTCCCGGGAACCATTATGTCGGTTCGCGCGGAGGCTTTCGATAGATTCCCAGGAGTCAAGGAGGTATTCGAGACACGGCACACTGAATTTCTCAACGACCAGGACATTCTTACCATCATGGCAAAACTCAAAAGCAGTTGGATCCCTGCTATCGACACCACGGACCCTAGACAGTGCCAGTACCGCGGCTGTCAGAGCAAAGCTTTGAAGAGAATTATATTCGAGGGCAACGACAGCTACGGTGGTATTATTCCAGAGGAGCCGCTGAAGGACAGATCCGGCAGATGGAATGTCGACAGAGTCGAGCAGTTTGTCAAGAAGCACATGGATGCCATCGGAAAGATTGCCTACGAGCAGAATCAGCAAGCATATGCCAAGCGAAAGCGACGGGAGGAGACCGAGGAGCAGCACAAGAAGGACCCCAACGGCTGCAAGACGCCCAAGCTCACTGAGTCCGGGAAATGTGAGGCTTGTGGGGGAGGTACTTTGGAAAGGATAGAGGCGTAATACGGAGAGGAAGGCGTTCAAGGGCGTTTTGCGGTTGATTTTCTCATAGTGCTCCATTTGGAGTAGCTCTCATTGAGTCAAATTGCGATGAGAGGAAGATCAAGAGCTCATGATGCAAATCAGTAACACTCGGAGTTGATGAGGGTATGAAGAGAGTCTGTAATAGGAGCTCAAGAAATGGGAGTCTTGAGATATTGAGACAGGATGATACCCTCCATGATACCTCAAAGATACCTATAGACAATAAGGTCAATCAAATGCGGATAATTTTGACTTCTTTTTCCATGATCTAGACTTCTTCCTTCTTTGTACCTTCCAAGTGACCACTAGTAAGATCCTCTCGCCCGGTCAACACCACAACACCACAACACCAGGACGACATCAAAGCAACTCAGCCGCAGCCCTCCTCTTGCGGCTTGAATGAGAGTGCCTTGCCCTAACGACATAATCATGCCCCACGCCGAAAAGAGGTCCTTGAAGAGATTTCTGTTTTGTTTTCTGCTGGCTCTCCTTTTTGTCTCCTTTCTCCTCCGGACAACTTTCTCGCGACTTTGCTGAGGCCTGCTTTTTCGTCCACCACCATCTTCCAGCTCCATCCTTGCTGTCCTTGTCGTCTTTGGCCTTCATCGTCCTTGGCTTTCTTCGTCTCTGGCTTGCTTCGCCTCTGGCTCTCGTCGTCTTCGGCTCTCGTTGTCTTTGGCTCTCGTCACCCCCGGCTTTCGTCATCTCTGGCTTTCCTCGACTCTGGCCTTCATCGCCATTGGCTTTCGTCATCTTTGGCTTTCGTTGTCGTCTGTCTCTGGCTTACAGCTCCGTCTTTGTCGTCTTTGGCGTCCATTATCGTCCCTCACTCTCTCCAAGAACTTCATGTGAGTTAGCCCCTTCAACTGCTGTTGCTGAGAAAGCATCCTAACTGCAAGATAGATAAGTACCAATCTCGCCCATCATGTCCCGCGGCCCTGCCTACGACGCCCCCGCCGCCGTACGTACAAGCCCCTCTTGATTACTCTACGGACGAAGACTGACGACGACGATACAGAACAGCGGCCAGGCCTCCCCCTCCCCCTCCCTCGAGGAGCGTGGTCGTCGCCGTGCCCGCGCCGCCACCACCCCCATACCCGCCAGTCCCTCCTCCTCCTCGTCTTCCGCCGCTGTCCCCGTTGGCCCCCTCTCCCCTACCGTCAACTCCCGCGCCCGCGTCTTCGCCAGCGTCCGTCTTCGTCCTTCCCCGGCCCGCACCCCCTCCTACGGGTCTGCCGCCTCCTCTCCCGCTGCCGCTGCCACCCCCCTGCGCGCCACCTTCGACGAGGCCCCTGCCTCTGCCCTCGCCGTCCGGCGCGCCGCCAGCCCCCTCCCCCGCGCCAGCTCCCCCATCGCCATCCCTGGCGCTGCTGAGCGCAACCGCGTCCACCGCCGCCGCACCGTTGGCGACACTGCCAGCGGCAGCGGTAGCGGCAGCGACGACGATCTCTTCGGAAGTGGTTACGGCAGGCCTCCTTAGGAGGGTCGCCGCCGTGCCACCTCCGACACCTCTCGCCCCGGAGGCTTCTCCGCGGAGGAGCTCTCCGCGCAGGCCACTCGCCTCCGCGAGCGCATCGGCGTTGGCCGTGGCTGGGTTGTAAGTGACCCCTTTTCTGTCTTCCGGTGTCTTCCGGCGTCGTTCCTCACCGTCGTCCTTGTTTATGCGTACTGATACCTTCGAAGGACCCCGCCGGCCGTCTCCGCGCCCTCCCCCACGGTGCCCGTCTGCCGCCTCCCCCCTCCCTCACCGAGGAGGACCTTGCTCGCGCCCGAGCCTTGTCCCCCGCCTATCCTCGGGGCCCCTCTCCTCCTCCTCCCCCTCCCCAGACGGAGGAGGAGTACATGAGGGGTGTCGAGGAGCGGGCCAATGAGTACCACGCCTTCTAAAAGGGATGCTGCTTTCTGCCGCCTCCCCCACCACGGCGAGAGGACACGACGACGACGATGATGCTACGCTGAGAGGGGACAGAGGTCCTTGCGGGCCTCTGTCCCAGGATAGTCACCGATAGCTTCTGCTGCTAAAGCAGCAATAGACCGCGTTTCTGGTCTTCATCTTCTTGTGCCTATTCCTTTGTGAATACTTCTACGTATGTTATCGTGAACAGTTACTTGCATGCAGATGTTCCCGAGCCCCCTTAATGTTGGCTTTCTCGAAACCTTCATCGTCACTAATTTCTGCTAGCGTCAAAGACGTATTCACTGCGAATCGTCTATAGTATATAACGCTCGACTTGCAATTCTAAATCAACAACGGAAACATCACTCATTTATCGTTTATCATGATGTGTTTCGATCTTCTTCAAATCTCAGCACCGCGCTGGCAATTGTTACACTCGCTGCGGGGAGAAATCCATAACGTGTGTCGCTAAATATCAGATAGACACGACGAGCTCTAGCGTCAAGCTGGGAATCTAATACCTCATGCATAAAAGCCTCGCTCTTGTTCATCATTTGAACGACAGCGGCAATAGATTACTATCTTGTCGTAGACGTGATACTACCCTGGTATCTGTAGTGAGATGGTCATGACTACGAATTGAAGCCATGCCTCGGATGTACGAGTCGCTCTTGGCAGTAGGTATTCCTATCATCTGGACAGTATACTCTAGGCATGATACGAGACAACGAAGACCTACACGTATAGAGTCTTTAAGCATCCGCTTTCAATCAACATGCCAATTACCTGCTCACAAGGCACGAACGTGTCGACGCATGAAAACGACGACTATACGACAGACGCGGAGATTCCCATCGTGACTATCTCATCTTGATGATACTCATGAGGTCTCAATTAATATGAGTGTGGTGGTCTTTCAAGCCTGCAAGTCTAAAGCATTCAGCTACTGTGTAAAGCCGAACCACCCGGCCTGATTCAAGTGTGCAAATCAATTCTTCGGCGATCCCGTACTTGAAAGCGGCACCCAAACCAATGTGGAATCTCATCACACCTTTCAAAAGATGACAAGTCTTTGGACATCAACGATAATGGTTAGCCAGTATATTCGTCACCAAATTCGTTGAATATCCCAATGAAGCCGGAGAAGAAGAGAGGAAATGCCATTCTTTTGCTTGCAGTCGCCTCGGAAGTCAGCCAGATCTTCATCTACCGGACATGTTTCCCAAGCTTGTTTCTTGTCTTTGAACATCAGCAACACAAAACTACCTTCATATTGTGTCGTTTATGACTTCAAGGGCACCCCAAAGGTCCTTATAGAAACTCACCAGCCAGCCTGCACAATCAATGTCAATTTTGAGTGGCTGACCTACCTTCAGGTACTTAATCTGCTCCATCTTCTATTGACACTCACCGGCAAATTGCAAAACTGCCTATCTCGTTCTCCTCCCCGCCAGATAGAAAGAGCTCAAAAGTCGAGGTCCTACGGTGCGTCTAACAAGCATTGCCCTTGCTCCAACGAAAACAGCGAGCGTCCTTATTCCTCGTTGTCTCCCTGTTATTCAAAGCGATATATGTCAAACAACCCGAAAAGATATCATGTCGTAAGTGCCTTGAATCTCATTGTTGGTGCTATGCTTACTAACATGTTCCCCAAGAAGCTCATAAACTACATTTCGCCCTCCTGATCCGATAGCGCGACATTTGGGCCTGCTCTCGTTACTCCAGGCTGGACGGTTTGGTGGTGTTTAAAACCTGTCTCAAGGAAGATTGGCTGGCACGTATACTACGCTTCGTCGTCGCTTACCTTTCCGTTTGCTACGGTTCCCAAGATGCGAACAATCGCCCGGCAATGCTGCCCTCGCCCTCGAGGATCTCCACACATGGACACGATGAGCTAACTAGCCACTTCGAGGCTCATTATCACGACTCGTCTCTGAGATGAAGCAAGTCTGAGATTGGCATGAATAGCAGAAAGTTATTCGCATGTGCAGTCGACGGGTGAACATGTCAAGATTTGTAGCAGGCGGGAAAGCCCTTCAGCCCACAATGTCCTAAGACAATATTGACCTGATTACGTCGTCCTGGAGGTTCGCGAGATTGAGACTGTCATGCGTGGCCCTATCAAAACCCTAGCGTGAAGAACAAGTCCTACCACCAACATCCTGACCTAGGTAACATGACATCCCAGGTCAGTAAGCCACAAGGCTTGTTGATCCTGCTGACCCGACAGAGGCAGCACGAGCACGGTGCGAGGCAACAAGATACCAGTTTGCAACCATGCCAGGCTGGCACCGACCCGATCCGGACGTAAGAATTCTAATTCCAACATCGGTTCGCACTTGCGTGCCGCAGGGTAGCACAGGCATGTGGTGTCTCATACACATATCAGCCAGTAATTCCCCGTCAGCCTTGACGGGCGAGGTGCGCCAGTCCACTCTGTCCCTTGCTCGTCGCCCCTGCCAAAGTCTGGGGGTTACAAAGAAGGCCCACGGATTGAGAAACGCCTTGACTCCCTCCAGAACCCCCACGACAGAAGCAAGACAGCTTCCGTCGTTGGCATAGGTGAGGCGGGGTTCGAACGGGGCAGGACGACATGAGGCTCTCAATGCCAAGCACCGTTTACGAGCCAAACTTGCTTATCAGATGCTGCTTAGGCATGGACATCCCAGCGGATGGCATGCCAACAGCTTCGGACTCAATGACCGTCAACACACGACTCTATGCTTTTTTGACTTTTTTCTTGGCATTTGCCCAAGCCATGGGGAATGCGTGGGTTAGCGACGTTGTCTGGACTCCTCGGCGACAGAGACGCGGCACAGAGTTGGGGAACGAAGGCATGTCCGAGCCGGATGGCAACAGTACCCGGAACCGATGCGGAGAGGGTCAGGATTAGCAATCCAAATTCGAATTACGCATCAAGGGAATGTGAGTTTTTGCCCCATGGCCATCTTGAACAGTTAGTCGGCTTATCGGCCGAAAGGATATGCGAAGTCCTTTCGTCGGGGACCTCGTGAGATCAGATCAGATCAGACTAAACATGGGCAAGTCGAACCGAATGCTCACTTGTAGATTGCAGTCGTACTATGTAAACCCAATGTGCCGCTGAAAAGGCCATGCGCGGAACAGGCAAGGTGCAATAGGATGCCCTTGCAATCCAGCCAGGGGTGCAGACAGCATTGCTTTTTTGACCATCGAGATCACTGGCGGTGAGACAGGGAGATCCGTAGTGGGCTGGCGAGGCCAGAAGCGCGGGAGGATGTCGCTTGGCGCTTCAGCGGCACCTTCGTTACCGGACATGGATGCTGAAAGGTCGCAATCCGGTGAGCGGCGCTGGGGCTTGCTGTCAACGGAGGCCCGGAAGCTGGCCCGCATGGGATGACGGGCTGGCGCCGGCCCAAGTGTGAAAGCCCAACAGCCCGGTCAGCGGTTTTTCATTCGACCTTTAATGCTGCTGAGATGCTGCACTCGTGGCGGGTCTCGTAGAAAAACTAGGGGATTGGTAACAGCAGTCGGCCCAAGATGACGTCTCGCTGCACCATCAGGAGATGGACGTTGATAGAATGCGCTTTCACTGCAGCTTGCAGACCTCAAGGTGACAGCACTATGTACCTTGCATACTGACAGGGATACTGAGAGTGCTCAGCGCCAGGGATCCGTGCCACCAGTCTTGCAGCTACAGCTACGTAGCTGGATATGCTGCTGTTGGAGAATACATGTCCTTGATTGGCCTTGGCGATCACCGAGCTGAGGGAACGAATGCTCTAGAGACTCCCTACTGCGGTCAAACCGAGCCGCAGCGGTAGAAGCTGACCGTGGCACAAGACCAATAGCTCATGGTCCCGAATATGTTGGCTGACATGTCGTAGAAGCCAGTCGGGCAGTGTTGGAAAAAATTGCTGAGCCAACTGGAAGAACAGGGGCACGGTTGGTCACCGGTCACCCTAATGCGCGTCGCTGCAGCTGCGCGTCCAGGGGGAAGACGTGGGTCGGCATTAAGAATGGAACCCTCCAACGTAAATTCCGACTGGGGTATTCCGCTACTTGTTCAGGACTGCCCACCGAAGTCTAGGCAGCTGAGCGTCCTCCGTTCGTTCTTTTTCCATTGTGATTCATCACTGGCTCATTGCCTGCGGCCTCCAGCAACCACCACGATGAACAGCAGAGCCGCGCCGTCGTGAGTCACGATGAGGCTCTGTATGTTGACCAAATTTGAGAACCGACTGTCTCGTGTAATCTCCAATGGCATTTTCTCGGGGGGAGTGGGCTCTTTAAGAATGCTGACGGGTGAGACGAGCCTGCTGGATGCCTGAAAACAGGCAGTAGAGCCGCCAGGAGGTGCGCGCGTCATGGATCTAAACGAGCCTCGATGGCATGGCAGTCTGGGGTTGCTTTTGGTATGCCGTATGAACCTAGGCAAGCCGGTGAATGATGCTGGTTCAGCTGTTGGACGACCCCAGAGCCAGGCACCCAGGCCATCGGAGGGCCATGAAGGATGGAGAAAGCGATATCGACATGGCTTAAAGGTCCGAGACTCCCGTCTGTTCCCACGATGGCTTTGATGCCAGGTTCGCGCTCGCACCACCACGACGGCCTAGCCTCTCCAGCTACCCCACGTACCTGCGAAGAAGCTCGCCCCATTCCGCGAAGTGTCCTTGCTGGTGTCAGCCCATCTGTCTTTCTTTCTAGTTTGCGACGGCTGCTAGCCGGTGCATGGGAACAGACGGGGAAGCCCATTTCGACGGACCAGACAGCCATCTTAGGTTAACGGGCATCTTGGTGTATCCACCTCCACTTGCGCGTCATTACATCTGTTTGCAAGACTTGGAACCTTGATGGACACTTGATGTGCATCTGAGTCAGTACAGAAACCTCAACAGTTGATCCAAATATCTCCCATCGAGCTTGTCGCACGCAAACCAACAACGTTTCTTGTTCTGTCTTTTGATCAGCATCTCACTGTCTGTACGAGGGCAAACCACGGCGACGGCGA